CGAACGCCATTTTTAGCCTGAATACCACTACGGTGACGAAGGAAATAATTGCTGATTGCATTGGTGTCCGAATAGCTAGTGATCTCGGTCGCTATCTTGGTCTCCCATCAGTGCTTGGCCGAAACAAAATTGCAATTTTCAGGTATATTGAGGAGAAAATTCGGGACCGCATCGGCATGTGGCAACATAAACTCCTCTCTAGAGCGGGTAAGGAAGTTCTTCTCAAGAGTGTAGCCCAATCCTTTCCTATTTTTACTATGTCTACGTTCCTTCTACCGCTTCGCACTTGTGATTCTATTGAAAAATGTTTCAACTGTTATTGATGGGGTGGTGGAGGTACGGGAAATAGAGGGATTCATTGGCTTAGTTGGACGCGAATGTGTAAGACAAAAATGGATGGAGGATTGGGGTTTAAGAGACTTCATGAATTCAACATTACCTTACTAGCGAAACAGAGGTGGCGGCTACTAATCCAACCGGATTCCTTGGTTAGCCGACTACTCAAAGCAAAATATTATCCGACAAGTAGTTTTATGGAAGCCACAGTGGGAAATAACCCGAGTTTCTTATGGCGAAGCATTGTGGCAGGGCAGGAGGTACTCAGACTGGGGGTAGCACGTCGAATTGGGGATGGCCTGGACTCGAAAATATAGGGGTGGAATTGGCTTGCTGACAACACTTGCTCACAATTAAGTACTCCGTGTATAGAGGAGTTACGGGAAGCCCGAGTGAGTGGTTTAATGACGGCGCACGGGGTGTGGGATACACAAGTTGTATAGGACCTGTTTGTGGAGGAGGATGTCCGTAGAATTCTTGCGACACCTGTGAATAACCAATTCAAGGATTCATGGAGGTGGTTAGGGGATATGCGTGGAATGTACACAGTAAAACATGGTTATCAATTACTCACAGGCGGTGAGGTGCATGCACCTCAACTTGGCGGATTTTGTGCTTGGAATCAACTATGGTCGTTACCGGTGCCTCTGAAGGTAAAGCACCTCCTTTGGCGTTGCACTCGTGATATCCTCCCTGTTCGTGAGAATTTGAAGCTAAAACATGTCTGGTTAGGGGGTGGTTGTCCATTGTGTACTTTCCAATATGAGACTATTGATCATTTGTTTGGTGAGTGTTGGTGTGCCAAAGAGCTTTAGCGTCAGGATGACGTGCTACAGGGACGGCCCATGCAAAATCTTATGAATGCTATTTTGAGTATGCCAGACAAGGCCAAAGCGGTTGAGATGGCAGCCATCATAGAAGTTATATGGTCAACAAGGAATGATGTTGTCTAGCAAAATATTACACCCTCTATTTTGGGCATGCGTAATCGAATAACCACTTTGCAGATGACCTGGGCGGGAGCTTTTCGCAAGAACCCAAGGGGACCGACACTGGCCGGTACCCACACTGGCTGGAAGCCTCCAATTAGCGGCAAGCTGAAATGCAATGTCGATGCAGCACTGTTCGCGACTGGAGCGGGCCTCGGGGCGGTGGTTCGTGATCACATTGGTAGGTTTGTGGCAGAGCGAGGAAGACGCATCGAATGCAGTCAAGACCCGTTCATGGCTGAGGCTATTGCGGTAAAGGAGGCTCTGACTTGGTTAAAGACCCTGCAATGTCCAAATATTGATGTTGAAACTGATTGTCTTAATTTCTGTAATGCTTTTAATTCTCGCACTTCTAATTTTTCGTATATTGGTACAATTGTTGCGCAATGTCGTGTAATTGCTAGTGATATTGGAGACGTTAACGTCTGCCATGTTAGGAGATCAGCAAACCATGTGGCTCACGTGTTAGCTCGCGCGACTGGTTCTATGACTGTCTCAGATGAGTGAGTTGGTATCCCACCTGATTGTATTTCCAACCTTCTTCGTTATTAATAGATACTTTTGCTTTTGTTCAAAAAAAATAAATAAATCTTTACCCACATCAATATCATAATTTTAAGTACCTTCAAATTAAACTCCATTTGGCACCGCCAATCCCCTCTATGCCACTGTTGACATTGAAATTTTAATAAATATGATTAGCTTTTACTATTAGTATATTTGAAATATTTTTGGATAATATTGATATTATCTAATTTGTTAATTAGATAATATCAAAAGAGTTTGAACCTATCAAAACTCTTCTATCCTACCCCTATAAATAGGAGCTCTTATTTCTATGAATTCATCCTAGGAAAAATCAGGTAAACATCTGAAAATATTATTGGGATCACAATAAAAATGTGATCCTGAAAGTAAAAGCCTCTTCTCAGCCTCTTCTCCATGATGATCATGCATGTTGATCCAACCTTTCCGGGGGCCTTTCAGTGGTGGAGTGTTCAAGGCATCCAATTCGAGAATCAAAGAACCATCAATTCGAGAATCAAAGAACCATCCAGAGACTTGTACCCACACCGCATTGATACTCAATGTAACTAGAATTTTGAATATTAATATATATTTATTTCAATTTTCTTTGTTCCCAGCCACCACGTAAGTTGTCACCTCCGACCACCACAACCATTGCATACACTACTTCTACATACAACCCACCTTATCAACAATCACTCGTTGATTCAATCCCTTCAGTGGTGAAATGTTCAACACATCCAATTGGAGAATCAAAAGACCATCCAAAGACTTGTACCCACACCACATTGATATTCAATGTAACTAGAATTTTGAATATTAATATATATTTAGTTTGATTTTATTTTTTCCCAGCCACCACGTAAATTTGTCACCTCCGACGACGACCACCGCAACCATTGCATACACTACTTCTACATACAACCCACCTTATCAACAATCACTCATTGATATTTTCCAACTGTAACCTTCCACGATGCCTTCACTATACTAAGCTATTACAGATACCATAGATATATGTACTTTCTAACATTACATCCAATATTGTTTTGTTTGGAGTTGGATCGAAAAGTCCAGTCCAATATCATGTCATATTAAAATCATGTCATATTGAAACGTGACGTTAACAACTACACAAGTATAATGAAATAAAGTTAATAAAGTTATGTCTTCACTATTATAATTTTTGACATAATGGTAATTGCTTGATGCTGACATATTTTGATTCCATTCATCATCCTTCCTGACAACAATTCTTGGTCTAAACACACACACAAACTCCAAATCTTTAGAGCAATACTATCAGCAATTTTTTGGGAGTTTTTGGACCCATGGAGGAGAGAGGAGAGAGGAGAGAGGTAAGAGAAAAACAAAATTTTGTAGCATAAGTGGCATTTTGTGGGCCCCATTGAAACCAAAAAAAATTAAAATAAGTATATATCAGTGAAGAAGTCCGCGGTATCTTGCAGTGTGCGTCATATACCATGCATATACCATGCATTACTGAAAAAGTCCGCGGTGTAGGAATCGAGCTCAATGAGTATCAAACCCGCAACCTCCACAAAGTAACGCACACCCCCAACCCACCAAGCCACCACTTATCTAGTACTACGTATATTGCTCCACGTATGCATGGGAAGTGCGCTAGAAGTAAAGTAGTGGAGAAAACACATGTGTGGCCAAGAATGAAGACAAGCTGATGCCGAAAATTTGTCAACCATCCAGAAGATCCCCAACACTATATAAGGGGCTTGATGTCTCCCTTTAGACATCATCTCTTGGTTCACTAAATCTTCCTTGGTCCAATGACTTTGATCTTAACCTTCAACCCATACACTAGGGTTAGGGTTCAATTCCTACCAGTAACATTATTATTTATAGTCCACTATTTAGGCTATGACTTGTATTGTTTATTTATTATTTGAACCACCATTTTGAGCCAGTATCTTGGGCTTTGTACGCACTCCTTTGGACCTAGAGCTCTGATCAATAATGCTACTATTTTCCTACCCCGTGACAAAACCTTCATGCATGTTATTTATTTATTGTTTTTTGAAACACATGTTCTATATTTGGTAGTATATCAAATAATAAAATAGAAGAGATATTACCTTGTAAAGAATCATAAGTATTTCAAAAGAAAAAAAATCAAATAACAAACTTTCAGTATAAAAAATAAAAAAATAAAAAAATCAGTATATTAGAAATGAGCATTTATCTACAATGTGAACCATGGTCGGGTGATGGTTCATAGTATAATTTGCCTTAAAACACCCTAATGGGCCTAACTAGATAATAATATTCATTAAGGGTCATAATATTACTCTTATTCAGTTTAGTTTAGAGGGTTACAAGTTTATTTATATTTATTTTTTGTTTAGTTAATATTCCTAATTTCATATTATTGCCTCATACTTCTATAGTTCTATTGGCCACTATTTAAGGGAATTGATGTCAAGCCAGGAGTGAGGAATGAATCAATTTGGTTATAAGATAGATGGTTGTGAAAACTCCAATCCTCCAAAGTTAGACCATGCCTGCTACTAAATACCTCAGTCCAAAAAAAACCCAAAAAAGATCTTACAACTAAATTAGTGCAACTCTCCCGTGAAACAAGTCAAATCAAGATGAAAATGTAACACTTATAATAAAAAAAAAAAAATACAATACTAATCAAGAATAAAATATTTGTTACTTGGGGGAAGTGTAATACTTTTGAAGAAAAATGTAATTCTTTTAAAACAAAATGTAAAAGTATTACACTTTCTGTTATAAATAACAAACAGTGTATTCCTAATTAGTATTACATTTTTCAGTATAAGTATTATATTTTCATCTTGACCCAACCTATTTCACGGACAAAGATCCGTGAGACAGTCTCACACAAGTTTTTGCCACAAAATTATTGTCACCTTAGAATGCTAATTGTAATATTAAAGGAGGTTAGTCCTATGGACTGCAGACTATCAAAATATTTCCTACTACAACCAAAGGATCTTCCCCAATCCACTGCCATTCAACGGATACCACTTTAAGAGAGTTTAATCATGTCTTTTTGATAAAAGATGAGGAAATGCAGGCTCTCAAAATTAAGGTATAGTATTAGACCTGCAGCAAAGGATGAATGAACCATGACCCGAAACCTCGTTTAACCAAGGATGAATGGACCAAGGTATGACCAAAAACACCGTTTAACCTAACTGCAAATCAATATGTTTGATGTACAATTGCTTGCACAAAACCCCACCCATCTTCAATATCAGGTCCCACCCAAAAGCCGGAAATAAGCATTTCAGTACAAGGACCTACATCAAAATTATGTGAAATGTGTAGCGGAAAACATGTTGTGTGTCTAAGGAAACAATGACGGCGCCTATTCACAGTGAGCATGCCTCGGTTCAAATAGTCGGTCATCAGAGTCTTCACTGTTGCATAAATGACCAAAAGCTATCAGCTTACGAGGATAGTTACATGAGATGGAGAAATTTACTTGAAAGTGCACAACATTTAACGCAAACCAATTTTTTCAATACAATTAGCTAAGAATAATAGGAAAATAGAAAGCACAAAAGGCTTCTTTTACTAGAAAAGCTTCACATCTTGCAGGAACCCATATTTCAGTTCTTCATATATAATAGAAGTCGGGATTTAGGATTAAGATCATAGAGAAAAATTAACCACTATTTCTCTATACTCTGCTTGAATGACGCTATTAAGGACTTCAGTTAATTCATACTCACTTTCAATGTGCTACTCAGATTCATAATTCAAACAATTTAACATAAAATTCAGAAAGACATGAAAGGATAACCTGCTGGACATTTTATTCGGAATAGAGACTTTTCACCCCTAGATCTCCTTTTATCAAGTCCCTATAACAGAAAATAAGATCATAACTCATAAGCATTCACATAACAAACTAAATCAAACATATTTCTTTTATCATGTCAGCAATTTGTAGTTTGCAGTTATCTCAAGGAATAGAATACCAATTGAAGAAATAATAGAAATCTATTCTACATTCTATCCATCCCAAATTGCATAAACAATATAGTGGAAAAATCTTTAAGCTGTATAAACAGAAGCCATTCCAAATTTTATGACTTAAAACTTTGAGTAGACAGATGTGACATTTGTGTGTAAGAAATAATGATAGAAGGAGAACATGTACCAGAACAAACAAAAAAAAAAAATGAAACTCTTATATGGATTTGTTTGGCAACCTAGCTTATAAGCTAGCTGAAAGCTGAAAAACTAATAGTTGAAGTTGAAAAGATAGTAGCTAATAAGCTAACTCATTGAAATTAAGATGTTTGGTAAAACTATTGATTAAATAATATGATAAGTGTAAAAAGAATAAAAGGACATTTTTATAAATTTTTATATTGATATATATTGCAATTTAAAGTCTAATATATATATATATATATATATATATATATATATATATATATATATATATATATATATATATGGAAGGGATCAGGTGCGAGTGGGGCTTTCTGTGCGGTTGTGCGGGTAGGCGTACGTTAAGCATTAATCTGACACACTTAAAAGTACAAAGCACACGCATTAAGCACACAAACAAAACACCTTAAGAACACAATCCCACGCACCTTAAGCACAAGCCTCACGCACCTTAAGCACAAGCCTCACGCACCTTAAGCACAAACACAGAACTCAGGCACCTTTTAGTTTCAACAACTACTCACATTAAGCACAAACCCACGCACGTTAAGCATAAAACTCAAGCACCTTAAGCACAAAACTCACGCACCTTAAGCACAAAACTCATGTACCTTAAAGTTTCAACAACAACTCACATTAAGTACACACTCACGCACATTAAGCACAAGACTCACGCACCTTAAGCACAAAACTCACGCACATTAAGCACAAAACTCACACACATTAAGCACAAAACTCAGTACACACTCACGCACATTAAACACAAACTTCACGCACCTTAAGCACAAGACTCATGCACCTTAAGTACAAAACTCACGCACATTAATCACCCGCACAACCGCACAGGAGACACTTACCCGCACCGGAACTTAATTATATATATATTTTTACCAAACATAGCTTATAGCTTATTTGTAGTTATAAACTCTAAAATAAACTCTACCAAACTGAAAAGCCTACATGACTCTAGAAACCATTATCAGAAATCTCCAGTTTATTCAAGAGATTAAACTCCTGATCCATTCCAAACAAAAATGAAGTTGAATCAACTTCAATAAAGGGTCCAAATTTTAAAATAAATAAACAAAATCCTATGTTACTAATTGTAAAATTGTCAGGTTGTTCTACAGACATCATGAGCCTTTCAGCATTATTCCAAAATTACAGCATATTTGTAAATGCATAAAAAATAAAAATAAGAAAAAATAAAAAAAAATAAAAAACTCACTAAGAAACACACAATGTCCATTCCCTAGTCCAGGGCCCAACCAGCTCCCTTTTCTACAAATATCAATTTCAGAGTTTTTTACCCGGCATCAAATATTTTAGCCAAAAATCAAGATTCAAGAATTTGACTACTACTAATAGATAACTAGCCAAACAAACAAAATTAAATAAGAAGGCAGGGTTATAGAAGAAGTAAGGGTCGAGGGTTAGTTCTATGCTGTTTTGGGTTCAAGAATTACCTGAATTGGAGGTTCGTGACTGTTCAGAAAAATATAGAAGTAGAGGGAGACCGCCATTGAGAAAGGATAACGGAGAGCTTTTCTTCTTCCGAAACTGCCCTTTGTTAGGGCCATTAGGTAACACTGTGTCACTGTATACATAATTTTATTTATATACTTTTTTAAACACTATAAAGTGGGATGGCAATTTCAATCGCCCGGCAGATGTTTACCCGAATTCACTCTGCATGGATCGGATTTTTTTGGGTGATGGTGGGCAATGGGTCGAGGGTGAGTCTTAAACAAGTAAACCCGCGGTGGGTCGGGTTGGATTCGGATTTTATGACAAAACCCGCTTAGAACTCCACCCGACCCACCATGTGTGTGTGTATATATATATATATATATATATATATATATATAATAGTAAAATATGTACTAGTATGTAGTTATTAATAAAATGATAAGTGGTGGGCACCCGCACCCGATGGAGGTGGGAGTGGGTTTTGAAAAAGTCCACCCGATGCGGGTTGGAGGTGGGGGTGGGTGGAGAAAATATATGGTGGGTCGGGTGATGGATGTAGCCTTTCCCGACCCACACCCGACCCATTGTCATCCCTACTATAAAGTACTGTTTTTTTTTTTAAAGATATAAATACTGTATTTAATTAATTTACAATTTACAATAAAAGTCTGGGTAAATGCACTTTCTGCCTAAATTATATTCTTATATCAATTTTCTCTCTAAATTATTTATGTATTCACATTAATTCCTCAATTATTTAATAGAGGTGATTTTTTTTCTCTATGATGTGTTAAATGAACATCTTTGCCCTTAAAATAAATATTTCATTTATTTTTATTTTCTAACATATTATTACTTATATGTATGGATGACCATGATTTGGTTCAAACCAAACCAGATACTGTAGCAACCAAATCGAAAAGTTCCGATTACGATTTATTAAATATCAAAGTTATAATACAAAATAATGTTATATATTTATTTACCAAGTATTTTATTAATACCACGAAAAAATAATAAAATAGTTTGAAGTCAATCATATTAAATACTTAGGAAGATTTGTTGACAAAGAGAGTATTCAAATACCCCAACAAATTGAAGTGGGAAACTATCTCATAATATTTATGGACTACATCATATTTAAAATGTTTAAATTTTTATTACCTTATCTAATCTTAGAGTCCGTTTGGAAAGCAGGAAAGTGACTTCTGAAAACTATTTTCTGGAAAATGAGTCATTTTCCAGAAAACATGTAATTTTCCGGTGTTTGGTTGCATCCCTAAAAATTGTTATAGTGTGTTTGGTTCATTTTTTAAAAAATGAGCAGAATTATTTTTAATTTTAAATGTTTAAAATATACCTGACTTATTATTATTATTATTATTATTATTATTATTATTATTATTATTATTATTATTATTATTATTATTGTTATTATTGTTAATTATCAATTTTCTAGACCCACAAACCCGCACCACTTCTCTCTGACGAAAAGAGGGACTTTCTTCCTCAACTACTTGCTCATTTTCCGGCACTGGCGGCCGGATCGAAAATCTGGTAAGGTTGATTTCCACCCGCTGGAACTTCTCCTTCCTAGGAAATCTGGTAAGGTTAGTTGATCTCCATTCACCTGGAAGGGATTGCAGTTATAAAAAGCATTTTAGACTATTTGGCTTCAAGGTGAATCCTTGCGCAAATGAGGTGTGCCGAGGTCTGACGAGAGTGTCAATTTCTTGGACACAGTTTCATGGAGGTGGGCGATCCTCCACCAAAGTCTCCAGAATCGGCTGAACAGATTATGCGACGCTTCATCGAGATTTGCATTGTGCAGGTTATGTTGGCCTTGCGTCGACGACTTTAGAGGCCAACGATGGTCTCACTGGGGTGCGACAGCAGCTGGAAGCAAGGTGGTGGCGCTGGGCTCAGCGACGACGAATGCGATGACGAACGGCGACGAGGCCAACGATGGTCTCACTAGGGTGCGACAGCAGCTGGAAGCAAGGTGGTGGCGCTGGGCTCAGCGACGACGAATGCGATGACGAACGGCGACGAGGGCTACCCGTTGGTTCTGGAAGACTTGGTTAGGGAGAAGAAGTTGCTCTGAAAATTGACTTCCCCCAAAAAAAGGGGAAGTTGTTTTTTTGGAAAAACCATCTCATGATTGATCCTCATTTTCCATTGACCTTAATTTTCCCAACGTTGCCAAACATGAGAAGCCCGGAAAATGATTTCCGGGAATCATTTTTCGAGCTTCCAAACACACCCTTATTTGATTCCTTAAACTAGGAATTTATTTATCCACAATAACTCATTCAACAATAATACTTGAACCAAATGAACCCCGAGCAAAATATCTAAAGAACTGGTATGTTATCGATTTTACAAAGTTGTAAACATTTTATTTTAGTGACAATTATAATGAATATCTTATTTTATCTTGCATTCATATACTTTGAATTACATATTCAAATAAACAAATTCGACATTCAATTATTTATGTATGAACTTCTCTTATATAATCTTGTATTGGATATACCTTGGGTGTTAGTCCATTCACGCAATTCACATGTAAAACTAGTTCTATCATATAAAAATGAGTAATACTACTTTTCAATTGATTTCTTACTTCTTGTTGATGAGTACACATCAGTTAGTTTCGAACAATTAGGGCGACAAAGTTTTCTTTTCATTTTCTTCATCTAATATGAAAGCACACCATATAGGCATGTAACTTAATAATTATTTATAGAAGTACACCAAATATTTCTCAATGTAAAGTTATTTTCTTGAGCTCAAGTCGTTCTTATTCATCTCTTTTTCAAAATTTGATTCTTCTAAGAATCTAAAAATCATATTATGGCTTCTAAACGTATAAATAATTTTGAAGATTGAAAAGTTAATTGGTCTTAACACACTTGTTTCAAATCATAAGATGTTCATTGAGTCAACTTTAACATGAAGATATAGTTTAAGACCTAAAAACATGTGTCAGATATTAAGATGTTAACGTGTATGCAAAGCCTATAGTTAGTTACCAAGCGATGCGCAATCTAAGTGGTTATGTGCATTGCATGCCTATATAAATAGCTAGTGAAATGTAAAAAATTACATTCAATGTAGTTTACTTATATTCAATCTCTATTAGTAATACAATATTCTTTCTCCACACGCAATTATTATCCCGTTACATTCATTTTCCTGTTGTAAATTAAGACATTCCTTGCATGAGTCATTGTATCGTTCTTATCTCGGGATGCAACATATATAATGGTATAATGTGATGTTAGGAAGAAGTGTAATTTAGATTTTGATGATACCTCCCGACAGTGGTGAATTATAATACTTGAGATGCCTTCTTAATATAGTCCGTGACTTTACAAGTTTTGAAGACATCCGATCATTTGATGGTCTAAAATAAATGTTTTTTTAAATATACATGCTATGCATGTGGACTATTAGATGACGATAAGGAATACATTGATGCAATCGAAGAAGCAAGTAATTGATCATCCTCTCGTTGCATGAGAAAACTATTTGTCACATTGTTGACATCAAATGCATTTAATAGGACAAAAAGTGTTTGGAGTAATGTGTGGCACTATATTGCTGAAGATGCACAAATCAATGAGTGTATACTATTATTAACACCATGTACACAATATTGTTTTTAATCATATCCTATACTTTCCTTTAAAAAAAATTGTAATTTGATCATTTAATTATTATATTTATTCTTCTCTTTTGTAGTTTGGTCCCAACATATGATGAGAAGAAAAATTTAACTTTGCTTGGATTGGAAACATTGTTACAACTATACAATAAGCCTCTGAATGACTTTCTTCCTATGTCATTTATGAGTTTAGGTTCTATGAGGTTAACTAAAAATCGTTTGTTATTTGAAGAGTTGTCATATGATCGTGAAGCACTTGTAGAGGATAGTGATAACTTGACAATGAAATTAACTGATGAACAAAGGGTTGTATATAATATAATACTTGGAGATGTGTCATCAAACACTGGTGATTTATTCTGTATACGGTTACGGTGGCACAACCTCACTACTTTTACCAGGTGGCCGGACTACACACCCTAGGTTTGCATACCTATCTCTTTTAATGAGGACTCGACATGTAATGATGCTCTAATGATGCACAACCACTGCTTTGAAACGTTGGAAAGAACAATGAAAGATTTATTGTGGTTGGCTAATCCCTCAAGTGCGAGCAATACTTTGGTGGGAAAACAGTGGTATTAAGTGGATATTTTAGTAAGATCTTACCTGTTGTTCAAAAGGTATAAGGCAAGACATCGTTTTTGCAACTATACATTCCTGATCTGTGGAGCAATTGAAGAGCTTTAAGAGTAACAAAGAATTTCCGTTTAAATAATATGGAACCTGGTATAGAAATGCAACAAGTGGAAGAGTTTGCAAATTGGATTGTTGCGATCGGTGATGGGACAGTCGAAGGTTCAAATAATTATTGTGTGGAGGTTGATATTCCAGAAGAGACGTTGTTGTCCTCAATCGGTAATTTGATTTCCACTATAGTATAAAGTACATTCCCGATGCTTAGGAGTATGTGATAACAATTTTCTAGAAAGTCGGGAAATTCTGACAACCCTAACTCTTGATGTTGTGAACTCAATTAATGACTACATGAGTAACATGCATGAAGCGGAAAACAGAACATACTTGAGTTGTGACACTGTGTGTAGGTCTGAATCAAATAATGGAGTATTAGCAGACGTGCACACACCTGTGATGTTGCTGAGGAATATAGATTACTCACTTGGGTTATGTAATGGTACTAGGTTAGTAGTTACCAAGCTTTCAAAACATGTTATATAAGCCAAAACAATGTCAGGTAACAATGCAGGTACGAGGGTGTTTGGTTCCTCACATGACTATGACTCCTTCAGATTCAAAATTGCCATTCAAGTTCAATAAAAGACAATTTTCGTTAATACTTTCATATACTAAGAACATAAATAAAAGTCAAGGTTAAACACTTATACATTTTTTCGGTACATCACACGAGTTACATACTTTTTTTTTATTTTTATTTTTTGGTAGAGACACGGGTTACATACTACGGAGTAGTATAGAATAAAACATGAT